CCCCCCCAACAGCATAACTGTTGTTCCAGGGTACAAATGGGATGGATGCAGGGCATAAAATCCCAGTACAGCAGGCAGCCTGCACCCATTCCCAAGAGCTATCAATCACCGCCATAAAATATGTATGGCATTAATTTAGGCTTGTTCCTAGAAGGCTGCAAATTTTACTGTAGAATTAAGTATGTAATTCTTTCTAAAGCACTTGCCTCTAAGAAAGATGTAAATGGCTGCAAAGGTCACAAACATTTTGTCTGAGCAAGTGTGAGGGCGTCCATTTTAATGATCAGGCTTGGATAATATGGGGTTCCATAAGTCAGTGTACTTAAGCCTTCTGTTACTCTCTTGTCTGCCTTTTGTCTATTATTTTACTGTGCAGCAGTACAGCTACCAGAATATAGATGAAGGCTTAGAAGAGAATTGGAAATGTAATCAGTTAAAAATGTTGATAAAAGACTATAAAAGGGAAGACTAATAATAGGTTTCTGGATTATTTTTATAATTCTATTCAATTTCTTTCCCCACTAATACGGAACTGTTCATAAAAACAATTTATAATTTTGTTCATTAAAAATTACTGGGCAATGTATGTCCACACAAAAACTTGAACAAGAATTTTCATAGCAGCATTATACATGACAGCTGAAAAGTAGAAACAACCAACTGTCCATCAACTGATGAACAGATAAACAAAATGTGGTGTACATACACGATGGAATATTACCTGACTGTAAAAAGTAATGAAATACTTATACCTGCTACAATATGGATGATTCTTGAAAATTTCATGCTAAGTGAAAGAAGCCAGTCACAAAAGACCACATAGTGTATGATTCTATTTATGTGTGTCTAGAACAGACAAATCCACGAAGTAGACAGTAGCTCAGCGGCTGCGCTGGGTGGGGCTGAGGCAGCGGCTAGCGGGAGCGCGAAGTGACTGCTGATGCATATTGTGTTTCTTTTTGGAGTGTTGAAAGTGTTCTAAATTTAGATTGTGGTGATAGTTGTACAATTCTGTGAATTTATTGAAAACCACTGAACTAGACCTTTTAAATGAGTGAATTTTATGGTATATGAAATACACCTTGACAAAGCTGAAAAAAAATTCATTGGCCAAAATGTTCAGTGCAATGTTACTTATGGAAGGTAAAACAGGAAATAACCCGAATACTCCCCTCAATAATAAGGGGAAAACTGCGTTAATATTCATTCAATGGGTGAAATCTCATGCAGTCAATAGAATGATAACTATTTTAGAAGGTTACTATGTAATATTAAGTGCAAAATATGTGGCTATAAAGCTATATATACATTATAATTACAATTATCTATAGCGTATGTGCATGTAAAAATGAAAGAATCTTTCTTACTTTTTTTCCTTTAATGTTGCTATTAGTTGTAAAGATATCAAATATGAATCAAACCATACTGAATGGAAAGGACTTTAACATGACCATTTAGTCCACTACTTAACACCAGGAACGGCAACATCACAACTGTTAGGTATAGTTGGGAAACTTTCATAACCATGTCCCCCAGAAAAGAAAAAAGGCTCCCTTCTAGTTTCACCGTTACAATCTTACAGCAATGAAGTTGTGTAATGTTCAGAACACCCCTCTGTGAAAACCAAATGAAACAACAGTAAACCACATCAAATGATCTGCTAATTAACTAGGAAAATAAGAACAGACCTTCAGAAATTTCTTTGTCCAGGGATTTTAGCTCTTCTTCAATTTCAGTTTTAACTTTTACTACAACTTCTTGATCCAGAGATTGTGAAGCTACATCTAGTTGAACCCCTGAAACCAACAAAAAAGGTTACTTTTGAAAGAGGGAGAGAGAAACCATTAGAATTACAATAGTTCTGACTTGACTTTTTAGTCAGAAAATGCAAAATCAAAACCCATTATATATCAAGTCTAGGGAGGGTAGGAGATACTTTTTGCAATAATTAAGGGGAAAAAAAACCCTTAGCAGAAGTATTATCTATTTAGAGTAAAGTCTGGTAAAAATAGAATACATAGAATAAGCCTCTGCCTTTCCAGATGTTTCTGCCAGGAAGGGAAAAAGAGCGCAACTTTCAGAAACACATTAACTAAACACGAGATTAGGAAAACACTGGTATTAGTATGTACAAGTCCTCTTTTTTTGTATACAACACATTCCTTGAAAAAAAATATATGAAAGCTGAATATGATAAACCCAAATAAAAAAATTCATGTTATTTTAGTGGTGGTGGGCAATGTCCATTACCCCCACTTGAAATTACATGAATCCCTAATTTTATCTCACTTTTAGATCCTTTTAAAATTTATTTATTTATTTTTTTAGAGACAGAGTTTTGCTCTGTTGCCCAGGCTAGACTACAGTGGCGTCAGCCTAGCTCACTGTAACTTCAGACTCCTGGGCTCAAGCGATCCTCCTGCTTCAGCCTCCTGAGTAGCTGGGACTATAGGTGTACCACCATGTGTGGCTAATTTTTTACTTTTTTGTAGAGACAAGGTCTCACTATGTTGCCTCAGCTGCTCTTGAACTCCTGGCCTCAAGCAATCCTCCTGCCTTGGCCTCCCAAAGTGCTGGGATTATAGCCATGAACTACCATGCCTGGCCTGGATACATTTTTAAATGATATATTTCTAGCATTTTATATATGCTCTGTAATTCTCTCCTCTGCCTCATTTGAACAGCTGATAGCTGCTAAAGTCCACAAAACATACAACTGAGACTCAAGTTTCACCTCTTTGGGCATAATGATTTCTTTGTCTCAATCATACTATATTTATGAGAGTTATGTTCATTACTAGTCTCTTATGCTTATTACTGATACTTCCATTTTTCTACTAATTTTTAAAAATGCAACAAAATAGTTATATACCTGTGTGAGCAATATGCACAAAAAAAGAGGACACTGCTGAAGACTGAAAGCAGTACCCGTCATCTGACAGTCCAGATTCAGACAAGTCAGTTTAGCAATATCGATGGAATAATAATAATTGCCAATACCAAGTGCCAGGCACTACAGTAGGCACTTTGTGTATACATATATGTATGTATATGTATACACACACACATTAATTAAATCCTCATAACAACCCTTTAAGATAGGTATTATTATTACCCTCGTTTTGTAGGTGTGAAAACTGAGGTACAGGGATGAGCCCTAACCAAGGACGTACAAACAGCAGAGCTTGGATGCAAACCAAGCAGTCTAGTTACAAGGTCTGGGCTCTTAGCTATCACACAACATTGCCCCTCACCATGCTTGAAAGTGTGGGCTATATAAAATCAAACACCCCAAAGTCCAGGACTGCCTCTGTGATAATGATCTAATCACAGCAGTTCTTAGGCTTTTTTGGATTAACCCCTTAGAGAATTTGAATAAAAGAATGGCCCCCCTTCCCAGAATGTTCAGCAAGCAATTTCAGGGCATTCATGGACCCTCTCAGGACCTTCATAAGCCTTGATTTAAAAACTTCACTAATTATCATCTAATTTTCCTTCTTCCCCCTCCCTGTCTCCACATTCCCATACTCATTGCATAATACAGTCCTGTCTGACTGGGTTAATCTTCCACAGTTTTGTATTACTGGGTAACCTGACTTAATGCACAGTGGTCAAGGATCATCACTAAAGGGCTCCAGGGAGATCTATCAAGAAGAGCAATCTAGGCATGGAGGGGGAAAAACTAGCAAAAGATTTGTATCCACAGAGAACATAAGAGACCAAAAAGTTTCTCCTTAACATTAAAAGTGAGCAACTTTGGGTATATCGCATCATAGTTCCTTTTATAGCTATGAAAAGCTTACATAAGCCTGGGCAATGTAGTGAGACCCCATTCTCCACAAAAAAAATTAAAAATAAAAAAATTAGCTGGGTGTGGTGGCGTGTACCTGTAGTCCCAGCTACTCAGGAGGCTGAGGCAGGAGGATCACTAGAGCCCAGGAGTTCAAGGTTACAGTGGGCTATGATTGCACCACTGCACTTCAGCCTGGGTGACAGAATGAGACCCCATCTCTAAAAAACATAATAATAATAAAATCAAAAGACCATTTAGTCCACTACTTAACACCAGGAACGGCAACATCACAACTGTTAGGTATAGTTGGGAAACATTCATAACCATGTCCCCCAGAAAAGAAAAAAGGCTCCCTTCTAGTTTCACCGTTACAATCTTACAGCAATGAAGTTGTGTAATGTTCAGAACACCCCTCTGTGAAAACCAAATGAAACAACAGTAAACCACATCAAATGATCTGCTAATTAACTAGGAAAATAAGAACAGACCTTCAGAAATTTCTTTGTCCAGGGATTTTAGCTCTTCTTCAATTTCAGTTTTAACTTTTACTACAACTTCTTGATCCAGAGATTGTGAAGCTACATCTAGTTGAACCCCTGAAACCAACAAAAAAGGTTACTTTTGAAAGAGGGAGAGAGAAACCATTAGAATTACAATAGTTCTGACTTGACTTTTTAGTCAGAAAATGCAAAATCAAAACCCATTATATATCAAGTCTAGGGAGGGTAGGAGATACTTTTTGCAATAATTAAGGGGAAAAAAAACGCTTAGCAGAAGTATTATCTATTTAGAGTAAAGTCTGGTAAAAATAGAATACATAGAATAAGCCTCTGCCTTTCCAGATGTTTCTGCCAGGAAGGGAAAAAGAGCGCAACTTTCAGAAACACATTAACTAAACACGAGATTAGGAAAACACTGGTATTAGTATGTACAAGTCCTCTTTTTTTGTATACAACACATTCCTTGAAAAAAAATATATGAAAGCTGAATATGATAAACCCAAATAAAAAAATTCATGTTATTTTAGTGGTGGTGGGCAATGTCCATTACCCCCACTT